CCTAAAAAGATTATTATTTAAATAGGAAAAATTTATGGGATAGATAAGGTAAAGTGAGGGGGGTTAGGTTTGGGGTGTGTTTATTTAAATATTTTAAAAGATCAAGGGCAAAATAGTTTTTTAGGTAAGACATGGACCAAGCGTGTAACAAAAACAAACAGTACGGACGTTCTGAGTTAAAAAAAAAATAAGTTAGAGACCAAACGCGCAAATTACCCTAAACCATAGGGACCATTCGTGTAATTTACTATATATATATATATATATATATATATATATATATATATATATATATAATATTATTTGGACACTTTGAGTAGCCATCTAGCTACTACATATAACTAGTTAGTTAGATGTTAAATGAAAGACTAACCAACTTTGACTCGTTGGTTGTCAAAACCATGGGTCCTTCTCTTTAAGAGATGGGTTGCTTGTTAGTTAAAGTCTTGCACTCCATATATTATGAAATTGCTTGTTTTGACTTTGTAAGAAGGTATGACTAAAAGGTAATTTTGTATGAATATATAAAGGAATATTATGAAGGGAAGAAAGCTATTTTTCCCATGATTTCCTTCCTCTTTGGCTGCCAAATTTCATGATTAGCATGCCTTATTCCCTTCCTTCTTTGTGTAATCCTGGTGCAAGAATAAAGGTCATATATGTTGCTTCTCTTTAAACATATTTTAGTATATGCCTTAATGGTTTAAAAACAACGGACTTACAAGTGAAGACTAGGATCGTTGGTAGTTGATTTTTGCTTGGTGGATACATTATTAAGAGCTCCTACTTTGGAGTTGAATGTAAACTTCATCAACTTCGTAATTGCCAAAAGGAACCATCTCTTCAAAGATTGTAGTGTTTCTTTTTCTATGGTTGATAATCTTTCTAAGTTTGCAAATGGTCCGTGATGGGTAAAATAATTTTAGTTTATTCAAATCTAAAAAGGCTTTTGTTGCTAATTAAGTCAAATTTATCACTATAATTAAACTATTTTTGAATAACAACCTAACAATTAGTATCATATCCATTTATGCAAGCTTCATTAGATTATTTAATAATTTGTTATTATTTTTATTTTTGGAAAACATGAATGGTTTCTTGTGGTAAAAAATTCCATATATAAATTATTTAACAACTTTATAAATGTTGTTTTTTGGTGACAAAAGTTTACATGTGTTTTTTTGTCACAAAAGTTGTTTTAGAAAAAGTAAGTATTATTCAGTGTATGTGTGTCTCTCTCTCTCTCTCTCTCTCTCTCTCTATATATATATATATATATATATATATATATATATATATATATATATATATATATATATATATTGTACATAAATTAGCAATGGGCCTTTTGTGTTTGTGTTTGAGGTGATTTGTTAAAATGGTTGTAATATTTATTTATTTATATGGTATTTAATAATTAAATAGATTGTTTTCATATTGTATATTATTGTAAGTAATATATTTGTTTTAAAATAGTTTATTTTTTCTAAAAATGTAACAAGAATGAAGATAATGATCATTTTGAAAATCAAAAGTTTATAAGCTTGATTTTATTAAAGTCTCCCAAACTTTATAAAAATAGGCTTGATTTTATTAAAGTCTCTCAAATTTTATAAAATTATTTTTTATAAATTTGTTATAAAGTGTTGAACCAAACAGGAATACATGAAGACATTGCAAGATGTAACTAGTTCCCTAAATGTCCTTTTGGGAATGAAGTTTGTATATTTGTGACGGCTCACAAAAATATCACTTGATGGTTTATATATATATATATATATATATATATATATATATATATATATATATATATATATATATATATATATATATATATATATATATATATATATATATATTGCATACTTCTTTTGTTTAAATTTAAGTTGATATTGTATTATTATTGTTAGATTTAGATTTCCCATGTATATACTATTTTGAACACAAATAACATCACAAGAAGTTTCGTTTTAATGAAATTTATCTTTTAGCATAAAGTGGTAAAAATAGTTCTAAAAATAAAACACACTTTATTGTTTAAAACTAGCTAAAATGGTATCAAACGACAAATTTTGGGATTAAAATTATAGCAGTTTAAAATTGATATTTGGTAAATTTATCAAACTACAAATTTATTTTTAAGAGAATTTTTATTAAAAAAAAGTATAAATGCTTTTTAGCGCTTAAATGGTAAAACTTAATACTAGTTATAAAATTTAAAATTTGATCATATCATATTTATAAAATTTGGATTTTATAAAAGAAGATTATTAAAATGTGATTTTAAATAAAAATGTTAAAATGTGATTTAAAATAAAATTATATCATAGTTTATTGGATGTATGCAGTATTACAGAAATCGGCTTTGGCGGCCGATTAATCGTTTTACAGCTTCGAACCTATTACGATTAGGGTGTTTGACGGAAATTGATCAAAATCAGTCAAACTCGGGTTTGACGGCCTTGGCGGTCCTCGATGATCATATGTGGGAAATATTTAAAAAATTCATTTTTTTTTTCAAATATTACACCAAAATTTTTAAAATTTTAAATTTTTAAGCTTTCAAATTTTAAAATATTATACTAAAATTTCAAATTTCCAAATACTTAATTTTTTAGGAAATAATAATTTTTTAAATAGTTTTATTAATAATTTACGGTCCCCGATTAATCGCTGTCGAGTCTAATTAATCGCTTATCGTCAGTCGACCGTTGAGCTACTGCTAAACGATTTTTACATCCTTAGATGAATGCAATAACCATGATAAAATATATTTTTTTAAACTAAAATTTTAAAGTCATAAAAACTTCTTAAAAATCTCAAATCTATTCAATAATTTTTTGAATAGCAACCACTTGTTACTTGTATGCATTATAAATCAAAGCATCTCTCGTAAAATCATCACCCATTATAAAATGTAAGTCGGTCTTGTTAATTTATTTTCCGTATATGGAATCATTGTTATGTAGTAGTGAGCTAATTAATTCTACCGTCCATCATGCTATTCCCACCGTCCTCTCCCATTTCATTTTGTTGGGTTAATTAATTCTTTAAATGCGGTGTTACATGGACTAAGATTTAGCTGTTTGAATTTTTATTAAGCCTAGAAAAGAAATAGTTGCACATTTATATCTTGTCATGTATATATAAAAGTCCAACAATTTTTTTTTTTTTTTTTTGGAACGGCAAATCTAACCTACTCCTAAACTACACCTTAAATCCACCTATGTCCTCGACGGGACTTGAACCCTCAACCTCAAATAGGGAGGGCAACACCGGATACCGCTGGGCTACAAACCCTTTGGTAAAAGTCCAACAATATTAATTAGTAAACATGACCCCTACCACTAAGTTAGCTCGTGATTGATAGTTAATGATCATCTTTTTTCTATTTCTAACCCATTGCAAGTTGCTATACATGCCACAACCCACCATAATATGGGTTAGTGTTTATGCCTGGCCATTAGTTGCGGGTAGGGAAAAGAAAACAATGTGGTTCCCTAACTGAGTTCAACCGGGTCAGTTCAAGAAAAAACCAAGTTCAATTGAACTGGTTCAGCATGTATTAACATTTGTGTTGAAAGGCAAATTGGTTATTTCTTAAATGTTTTTCTTACTAAAACCGATTTCTATTTGAAATAAATCGGTCTAAACCTCACATTTCAAAGCTTATAGTATGAAAGTATGAAAAAGAAAATATTTATTTAAATTCGAAAAGCCCTTGATATTTTCTATTTGGATTCGGTGTGGGATATCATGCCATAAATTATTAAATAAATTCTATTGTCTATAGTTTATATATATTTTTTCTTTATTTTTTTTTTCCAAAACCATTAAGTTAGAGTTTTTATAATATTTAAGGTAGCTCCTACGTATTTTTTGTATATAATTTATTGTAAAAAATTAAAATTTAGATGGGTCTAAGTGACCCATCATGAAATACAACATTCTCGTCTTAGACGACCACACCAACCACGTCAGAACACAACTATCCCACTCAACTCGCTGAACCTTCAAGCTTTTCCTATAAGGCTGGAGGAGTGCTGCCATTGAAACCGTATTTCCTCCTATACCACTTAGATGCCAACTCATATTTTTTCGTATTTAATCAATTTGAAACCGCAATTTGAGAGTGAGGAAAAGGTTAGGAGAGAGAAAAGAAAAAAAAAAAAGATGATCGATTGAGAGAAGAGAGAGCAAGTAAAAGAGGAGAAAGAAAAAAGGGAGTGCGGTCATGGACTACCGCACTGCGGTTTTGACCGCAGGAAACCGCACCCTGAGGGCGGTATTTGCGGTCCATGTAGCAGCATTGCGGTTTAAAATCGCACTCCACACCCTACAACCAACCTAAGGAAACTAAACCCCTAATTTTTTCTTGTTAAACAAATATACCGTTTTTACATTACATATGCTTAAGATAGGGCATTTTAAAAATACATGAACACTATTTAGTAAACAAAAGAATATCATTTTGGAAGTTACCATGAATAAACACGACAATATAATTTGCAAAAATACTTTTTCCACTTTTATATACACTACCTTTTTCAAACATGTGACATTTATTAACGTATATGATTGTTATCAAATTGGCTATTCCCCTTTGGACTTAATTTCCCGGTTGAAAGGGCAGTGAACATTGCCGGATCGCCGGCAAGCCATCGTTGTCCATTAGAACAATCTCTACAGAAAAGAGCCGTGTGGTCCGACGTCCGGACAAAATTTCCAATTTTACCCCTATCCTACGTGTCATTGTAGTGGTCCCCACATGTCCTCTCATTCTAAAGACATGATGACATGGATGGTCTCACATGTCTCCTCTACAGCCCACAACATCCCACAACGTCAACATCTACGCAAAACATTTTCATGCAAACCTCCGTCAAAACCCTTCCAAAACAACAATATTCCTTCGGCCAATTCCACCACGATTTCTGACGTGGCATCCCACCACCACCCTATAAAACCCTACCCACCTTCCTCCCCTATCCACCCAAACAAACAAACACTGAAACTTAATCATCTCTCTCACTGAAAATCACACAAGATTCTTTCTCTTTCTATCTTCTCTCTCTGCAACATGGCCGTTGATTCCACAACCTCATCGCCGCTGGGTCCTCCGGCGTGTGAAAAAGATGCAAAAGCTCTTCAGTTCATCGAAGACATGACTAAAAACTGTGACCCCGTTCAAGAGAATGTCTTGTCGGAGATTCTGTCACAGAACGCTGCAACGGAGTACCTTCAACAATGGAACCTCGACGGAGCTACTGACCGGAAAACTTTCAAATCGAAAGTTCCGGTCATCTCCTACGATGATCTCCTTCCTTACGTCAACCGTATTGCTAATGGCGATCGTTCTCCTATCCTTTCTTCTCACCCCATTTCCGAGTTTCTCACAAGGTTTGTTTCTATTCTTTCATCTCTGAAATTGCGATTGTGAATCTCTTTTGTTGATATCTTTGTTTTTGATCTTTTGTATGAAAGTTCTGGGACTTCTGCTGGTGAGAGAAAACTCATGCCCACCATTGCTGCGGAAATGGATCGGAGACAGAAGCTCTACAGCCTTCTCATGCCTGTCATGAATCTGTATGTACAATTACCATTACAAAACCTTGTCTTTATCGATTATTTTGTTTCTTTTAAAAAGTACGAAAAGATTCATGTTTATCAAAAACTGAAAAAGCTTGTTTTTATGATTTTATCGCAGGTATGTGCCTGGTTTAGACAAAGGAAAGGGATTGTACTTCTTGTTCATCAAAGCCGAGGCAAAAACCCCAAGTGGGTTGGTAGCCCGACCCGTTTTAACAAGCTACTACAAAAGCCAACAGTTCAAAACCCGACCTTTTGACCCGTATAATGTGTACACAAGCCCGAATGAAACCATCCTATGTGTTGATGCTTTTCAAAGTATGTACTCTCAAATGCTTTGTGGCCTTCTTTTTCGTGAAGAAGTTCTCCGATGTGGTGCTGTTTTTGCATCGGGACTCGTTCGAGCTATCAAGTTTCTTCAACTCAATTGGCAACAATTGGCTATGGATGTCGAATCTGGAAACCTGAGCAATAAAATCACTGATTCATCGATTCGTGAATGTGTTTCCAAGATTCTGAAACCTAACCCTGAGTTGGCTCAGTTCATTAGAGAAGAATGCTGTGATGGAAACTGGGAAGGAATTATTACTCGGATTTGGCCGAATACGAAGTATCTCGACGTGATTGTCACCGGAGCTATGGCGCAGTATATTCCGATTCTTGATTATTACAGTGGGAATTTACCCAAGACGTGTACGATGTATGCTTCGTCGGAGTGTTACTTCGGGTTGAACTTAACTCCAATGGTGAAACCATCGGAGGTTTGTTACACCATCATGCCGAACATGGGTTATTTCGAGTTCATCCCACATGATCCGGAGAACCCGGTAACAATTTCACGCGATTCGCCTCCTCAGTTACTCGATCTTGCTGATTTGGAGCTTGGAAAAGAATACGAGCTCGTGATCTCAACCTACTCCGGTCTCTGCCGCTACCGTGTCGGCGATATTCTACAGGTGAAGGGTTTCCACAACTCCGCCCCGCAGTTCAAGTTCATTCGACGGAAGAACGTTTTACTCAGCATCGACGCTGATAAAACCGACGAAACCGAGTTGCAGGCCGCCATTGATAACGCTTCTGTTCTTTTGAAGGAATTCAACACCACCGTCGTGGAATACACCAGCTACGGCGACACCAAAACGATTCCCGGCCATTACGTTATCTACTGGGAGTTGTTAATGAAGGATCCGGCGAATGGCCCACCTGAGAATATGTTAGCTCAATGCTGTTTGGCAATGGAGGAAGCTCTGAACTCCGTTTATCGGCAAAGTCGAGTTGCAGACAATTCAATCGGGCCATTAGAGATTCGTGTCGTTAAAAATGGAACTTTCGAGGAGTTGATGGATTACGCGATCTCAAGAGGCGCTTCGATCAATCAATACAAAGTTCCACGATGCGTCACTTTCACTCCGATTATGGAACTGCTCGATTCCAGAGTCGTATCGGCCCATTTCAGTCCGGCAGCCCCACACTGGACATCAGAACGACGTTTTTGATGTCGTTTTGTAGGACTCTACCAACCAGAAAATCTTGTGGATGTAAACTTTTGAAAAGTGAAGGGTTGAATGTGTAATATCTCAGATAGTATGTTCGAATAACGTTTTCTGTTTGTCTTATGTTGGGAATTAGGTGAAACTTGACAGAAAGATTCCATTTGTGGCAAGTGAAGTCCTTTTTTCCGGAAAAAAGTAGATTTTGTCACTTTGTGTTGTCTCGAGGAGGATCTAGGGGGTTTATTGTAAACTATTTTATTGTTAAAGGGGTTTTGTTGGTGTGTATGTTATCTTTTGGACTTTATTGTAAATTAATCCCATATCATATCATGGTTTGTTGATGTATTCTGCGGGCTTTATATGCATGGATTTTTATGCACGTGATGCACGATGTTTTTTCTTTTTGAATTCCCTTTATAACAAATTTTAAAAAATTACAAGAAAATAATAGGGAATTAGAGTGTTAGATTTAACCCGACCCGTTTCTATAAATGTACCATACTTTTGACCACATAAATATTATTAAATTAACACACTATTAGAAAAAACACATTATAACAAATTTTTATAACAAATTTTTAAAAATTACAAGAAAATAATATTAGAGTGTTAGATTTAACCCGACCCGTTTCTATAAATGTATCATACTTTTGACCACAGAAATAATTATTAAATTAACACACTATTAGAAAACACACATTCTAAAGTGGAAATACTCATATTTATCCAAAAACTTATATTCCCATAAAACAATCATCCATTCCACCTGTTACTATTTGCTATTCTTTTGGAAATTGATCAGTTTTTAATATATATTTTCTATATTTTCACAGTATTTATTTTTAGAAATCTTTCAACCTAACAATCTATTTTCCCAGTATGGAATTTTCTTGCGCTTTTAAATTAATTTTTAAGATTTTCACAACAAAAATAACTTGAATATTTATTTTAAATTGTTGAAAAGTTGCAAGTTGTGTTTAAAAATTGGAATCTGTCACTAAGATATTGTATTTGACATTGCAAATGCCAAATTAAAATTTAGCTTGTGAAATTATAAATTTTATCCTTTTTTTTTTCGTTTTTTTCTGTCTTTTTGGTATGGGCAATACAAAAAGTCAATTTCGCAATAAATAAAGATTTTCATGTGGGCTCATAGCAAATTTTATAAGTTGAAAATTTTGGGGTAATTTGGGAAAAAAATTTATAAATGTCATTATAATATATGATACACAGCATAACAAGCAACTACAAATATAATAATAAAAGTACATGTAATCTAGTGGTATCACGAGTTCTTGAAAATTTACCCTAAAATTAATTAAAATAAAACATATATTGACAAATATATATATATATATATATATATATATATATATATATATATATATATATATATATATATATATATATATATCTTTAAAAAAAATATATAGATATATTAAATATCTAAACCAACAAGAAAAAGTTTCCACATGTCTAGTTGTTTTCGATTTAAACTTTAACACCGAATGCGATTGCTCAAATACCTTTCACTTTCCTAGAAAAGCTGACTTCCCTTTGCTTGTCACCACTAAATTTTGTTTTTTTTCGTATAACCAAAACCGAAAAGGTATGTAAAACCTTCTAGAGTTAAAATTGTTACTATATTTTTTAACCATATTATTACAAAATATATTAATATTATATTTTAAATTAGGACAACGAGGTATACTTAAAAACTAATATTAGTTACACATGATTACTTAATTTATTTGAGTTTTTAAGCAGGAAGTTTAAGTTCTAAATTAAGTTACAAAAATTCCATGTCTTTGACACATTCAATTTGCATTATATTATTTAATTCTATATTTTCTTTAAAAGATTAAAATATCAGGATAAAAAAAAAAAAAAAACTGAGTTTTGCTTGAGTTTTTTTTTTCTTCCGAAAAAAGCTTTGTATCTTTTTTTCAAATTGGTTCTCTTAGCTGGTTTATCTAATCTTGGGGTTTTAAATAGCTTTTATTTTTTGGAAACTTTCAACTTTTTTTTTTTTTGGAAAAAAACCTTAAACATTTTTTTCCTAAAAAGAATGAGTTTCTTTTGGCAACAATGAAGAGTTCAACCCAATGTTTATTTCTATCTTAGTTGATAATGATTCGACATTAAAAATGTATTGATTTTTTCCTAATAACTGAGCGTTTTTATAGAGAAAAATATTTCTGTAACCAAAAGATTACCGTAAATCTGTGAAGTAGTCAGATCAATAACAATGGAATAATGCAATGTCTTTCTCGTAGTAGAAAAAAAAAATTAAGGTTTAATCGAAAAAAAATCTATTGAAAAAGCATGAACTTCAATTTTATAATTTTTATGTATCATATTTTTGCAAAAAGTGAAAGTATTTTGTATTTTCTATTTAGTATTTTTTTTAAACATGCCGGTGGTTTAGAACTATTTATATGAATTAAAGAAAAATATTTTGCAAGAAATTTATAAAAAAATAGAAGAAATCTGTGGATTAAAACTTTGATCTCACACTTTTAACCAAAGTCATCCTTTTACTTTAAGATGTCTAAAGACCGATAAAGGATTGTAAAATTCAACTAACACCTGTGTAAACATAATTGCTATAAAGTTAAGAAAAAAAAATGTAGGATGTCTTATTAAAAAATGTATTGTAAAATATAATATTATAATTAACCTAAAAGAACAATAAAAAAAATAATATAAATTACTCTGTATGAAATTACATACGTAGCTATGGATCTTAGCAGATTAATCCTAACGAAAACTTTGTTATACAAAAATATAACATTGTTTTAAGCATAGCAATAAAAAGAAATTTATTATATAATTATTTGAGGAAATAATTAGAAAAAAGACAAGAAAGCTTTTGAATAAAAAAGACGACTGGAATGCAAGAAAGATTAGGGCATATTGTATGCTCTTTCTGCGTTTGGTCGGCCTCTTCCTTTTTTTTACAGTTGGAAATTAATAAGCTTTATTTATTTTCCATTTAATTATCACAAATTTAAACAATTTATCTAATTTGTTAAAATATTGTTATAACAATATAGTTTTTGTTATTGTATTTAATTTGTTACTTAGTTTTTAATGGGGTAACTATACAAAATACAGCCTATTTTGTCTATTTTATTGGCTTAAGAACTATATATTATTTTCTCTAATCAAGTCATCATATTTTGGAAAATATATTGTCAGTTTATGAGATAACATGATGAGCTGTCGTTTTATTTGACTAAAGTCATTCAAATTAATAACTTTTTTTTTTTAATTTGCCACTAATAATTAGTTTTGTATTTTTTTCATTTGTTTAAGGCAATATTTTTCTTTTTGTTTTGAAAGTTGTCAAAGGTTATTTTTGTATTTTTTCCATTATTTTTTTTCACTATTTTATTTTTTATTTTTTTCAAGTGCTTATTCGCTTATGTTGTTTTTTTAACGGCATCCAAATTTATTAATAAGATATTGGGGAAGCACGAAAAAGATGCAAAAGACTTTAAAAAAGGAAGATGTAAACAACAAAACATAAACCAAACAAAGAAAAAAAGAATGTCCAAACAAAATATATCAAAGGCAACATAACGTAAAAGCACCGATACCCAAACATTAAAGAACCTTCGACCCACTCCAAACCAATAATAATAATGTACTATGGAGGCTACCCTAGTAATACCCAATCAACAATATTAGTAGAGTTGTCTTCAACTTGAGGCTCTTCTTCATCTTGAGACTACCCCTCAACATGGGGTTGGTCGTGAAGTGGTTGATCACTAAAGAATGTGAGCTTAATGAACTATTTTGCTTTCTTCTTTTTCATCTTCTTATTTTGCTTTGTCTATTTCATGCTCCCCCTTGTCAGGGACGGTTTTAAGGGCTTCCCGGTGTGGCACCGGCAACCCCTAACTTTTTTGGCAGTGTAAAAAATTTTGATTTTTTTGATTTTTTTTAACTATTTTTTATGTATCGGCAATACCTATTCACCCCGACAACACCTACTATGTATTCATGCGTACGTCCTTGCACCTCGTATGTATTCTCCCCTTTTTGACATCATTAGAAGGAATAGTAGGATATAGTACTACGTAAATTGAAGGATGTGGTGTTGGGATGTTTGGAAGGCTAGAGTCGCTTGATGGATCTAAACTTGGTGGTATGGCGAAGCTGAAGTTGGAGACATTGGACAGAAGCTTTGCAGATTTCAATTTGTGTTATGAATTTTTAGAACCTTATAGTCTAGAAGCAGATGTTAGCGAACAGGGCGCAAAGTTCCCAAGACATTCAAGATGTATTGAAGATTGATTATTAGCGCGAAAACTGAGAACACCCCATCATTTGCCATGGTGCTGAGAGTATTGTTGGTTTTCCTTATCAAAGAAGTTGTGCGAAAGAGAAGTTACTAAAGGCTAAAGACAAACTAAGAAATCTTTGATAACATAGGAAAATAGGAATTTTCATGTTGTTGATATTTGAGACTATAGACCATATGATGTCAATGTCCATTGGCATGGATGAGACATTAAAGTCATCAATAACATGTTTAAGAGCCAAAATTAAAAAGTGAAGATATTCCTTTAGAGTTGGAGATAATGTGGACGTATGGGCCACAAATGTACGTGAAATTTGATTTAGGCAAGATCATCTTGAGTCCTCATGGTCATGGTTGTGAGATAAACAACAAAAGTATCAACCTTTGCGGAAAGTTGATAGATAGTATCAAGAACTTAGAAAGTTATATTGTGGTTGGTGTCTTACTCATGTTATGTTGTTAAAGCATAGGATCATTAACAATGGAAATTAAGACTTGCATCTTCGGTTCTTTCAATCCATATAAATTGATAGTCCATGCAAGATGGGTAGGAAATCTATGGTGATGATAAATTTTCATAAAATTTGGGTTAACCCAAGAAAAGGTATCTTCACTTAGCATGAAAGGTATACCTTAAATTTTTTGTGTGGTATCCAATTGAAATAGAACTCTACCTTTTTGAGAGGGTGAAGAG